GTCTTTCGTCTTGTTGCTGTTCGCAGTGGACCATTTGTACTGTGTTTCGGTGAGAAAACCTGCAACGGTAACGAAATGGCAGGATACGTACGACCAGATAGGGAAGCCCGACGAGGAGGACTACGGCGTAGACACCGAGGACGTAGATGTTGTTCTGAGCATCGATGACCCACTGAGGAATGGCGATGCCAACAGTGGTCTGCTGCGGTCCGTCTGGATCGTTGTACTTCTGCCAGTTCTCGCGCGTGACCTCGTCCGTGAGTCTGAAAGAAGGCGTGAGTGCAGAGTCCGAGTAACCGGCGAGTATTCGACGCACGCTTTGTACGCCTTGGTAATCTTGACGAAACGATCCTGAATCATTTCAAGGGTCTCCTCAGCAGTCGCTTTGATCTTATCCGGATGACTGGGGATGCATTAGCGCGTATATTTCCACATAGCTTGCCACATACTAGATCTTGGACAGCTTCTTGTAGTGGGATTTGATCTCCTTCTCGGTGGCTTCCTAGGAGGGAGATGGGTAAGAGAACAAGTGAGGGCAGGAGGCACACGCACCCTTGCAATGCCAAGAATCTCGAAGGGGTCATAGAGGACGCTCTCTCCTGGGGTCGCGTTGATGACTTTGTAGACGAGAGCCGCCGTGGCAGCCCAACCAAGGGCAAGAAACACATAGCTGTGAGGATATTAGGACACGAGTAGGGTTATAAGGAGGGGGGACGCACCTCTTGCGGAAGGTGACGCGGGGCATCTGCTTTTTGAGGCGCTGCTGGTTCTCGAGGCATGGCGCGCAGGTGCATCCTTCCTTTCTGTTTACGTGCTTCCTGCCTGAGGTCCCCTTGTCAGATAGAATCTAATACAGCGGATGGGGTAGACTCACTTTTCGGTGAAAGAACAGAGATAGTCCAAGGTACGAGGATCAGGACGAGGACACTGAGGGCGAACGTCGCCGCCATGTTCCCCGACTCATCGTAACTGTATTGCGCCATGTTGGCGGAGCTTCGTGTACGCGCCGGTGCGGAGCGCTGAAGGAGGGGACACGCTCGGGCGTGGAAAGAGCGTGAGTCGGTGGGGGAGGAGGAGAAGTTGTGTGCTTTCAGCGGGCGCCGCACTCGTCGACGTGTCCGCGACTTGTGACACTTGGCGCGTGGCAAAGTCACGCGTGACCGGCGCTTGTTCAAAACCTTCACCTCGGCCATGCGCGTGAAGCTGCAGTGTTTGCCGCCGCTTCCGGCATTGAAGTTCTGGTACGCGGTGGAAGGGGAAAAGATTGAAGACCTCAAGAAGTCACTGGTAAAAAATGTACCTGGGTTGGGGCCTACTGGAACTGGCTTGCAAGTACTTCTCGATGATTTCGAGCTGCTGGACTGGCAGTCAACACGCGATCTGTTACGCGACGGGGACTTGCTTGTTTTGAAGTGCTCTGAAAAGGCCTCTGCTTCATCTACAACGACCCAGACAGCAACTACGACGAAGCCAGGTCAGTAGCTTTCTCCACGTCTTTTCGACGACATTCACTGAACCTCAGTAGCCGCTGGCAAGAAGCGCAAACGCTCACCATCTACCAGCTCGTCCAGCTCAGACTCCTCAGATGACTCATCCGATAGCTCTGATGACACCTCGGACTCTGACGACGACTCGGACTCGGACGATACCTCTTCGTCTGACTCCTCTTCGGATAGCGATTCAAGTGATGATGCGCCGCTTGTGCAGAGCTCAAAGAAACCGGCGAGGCAGCCACCAGCGAAGAAGCCACCAGTGTGAGATCCGTTCTACATGCTTCCGAAAGTCAATTGACACTTCGCGCAGTGCCACAAAACCACCCGCTGTCACCCCACCGGGCCAAGGTAAAACTACTTCTCGTGAGCGAAATCGGCGGCGACGCGCTCAACGACTACGGCAATTGCAAGGCGGTGGCGATGTTGCGATGGCGCCGCCCCCGAAGGCGCTGTCGACGACGAACGGGACGCCTCTAGGCAGACCTTCGACAGCGAACGTGGCGAATGCACTCGCGGGAAGCATGTGGTCGGAGATGGACCTCGATGCGCCCCTGGAGGATTACGATGCACCTGTTGTGGACACCAAAGCACCTATGGCAGGCGCCCCAGACTACAGCGAGCTCACAATGTTCTCGCTGCGGAACAAGAACAAGAGCAAGAACTTCCGGAAGAATCTGAAGATGCAGGTGCCGGCGGGGCCGAAGAGGATCGTGTTCGCTGATGAGGCGGGGGCGGGGCAGGTGCAGAGTGGCGCAGCGACTTCAAAGGCGCAGGGTGGGGCGGCGGCTTCACAGGCGCAGAATGGTGCGGCGACCTCGAAGGCGCAGGCTGAGTTGTATGGGGATGGGGCGGCAGCTTCGAAATGTGGCACCACATCCTCGAAAGCGCAGGCTCCCCGACACCAAGCGCGCCTCCCGCGCCTCGTCCCGCCATCCGAGCGCACAGACCTGCCGCCGAACGTTTTCGTGACGAGCGTGGACGTCGAGGCGGGGTGGGAGGCGGACACGTCGGGATATAAGTACGATACCTCTGCGTACGAGCAGACCTACGCCGAGGAGAACCAGGATGAGGCGAATATCCAGCTCTCGTACAACGACGACTACGACGACGCCGCTCCCTCTCTCAATGCCACCACGAACGCCTCCGCCCAGCCGTCACCCTACCCCGCGCTGGCCCAGTCGCTCGCCTCCGCCACCGCGTCGCAGCCCGTTGCCTCCCTTGCGCAGCTCGAGGTTGGAAAGCACGTCGGGTGGACGAGTCTGGAGCTGAACGCCGCGACGATGACGCCGGAGGTGACGGTCGTGATAGCGAAGGTGGTGGCGGTGGACGACGATGGCGAGAGCGGAGACAACACCAAGCAGACGGTGACGGTGAAACGCATACCGAAGCCGCTCGAGGGCGAGGCGCACGAGCTGCTGCTCAACGTTGCGGGGGAGGGAGGGGAGGGGGAAGAACAGGAAGAGGAGACGTTTACGCTGAAGGAGGCGGTGGATGCGGGGTGGAGGGTGATCTTGTAGATGGTGGGCTGCTTGTATATGTGTCGATGAACAAGACTAAGTATAAATAGGCGCGTGGATGGATACTACATGAATTTGCCAATCTGCAGGCCCGTTCAAGCGGCCTCACCTTCTAACTCGCGCTCATGCCTTTCAGGATGGCGCCTAAGTTCGTGCGGAAAGCTGCTCTCAGTTCACCTGCCAATGCTACATCCGTCGGCATGTGAAGCACTGGCGAAGCGAAGCCGCAGACACCGTTCTTTGGGTCGATGAACTGGGCGGGCAAGGTCAGTGGGATGGAAACGGAAGAGCTGCCAACTTGGAACTCCCCCCTGCCAAGGAAAAAGAAACTCACCCAGACTGTGGTGCGACCTCCGCCCCAGATGGGCGCGCCCTCCCCAAGGCCACCGTCGATATCCTCGCCAACTCTCAGCCCGCCTAGTCCCACTTGGATATCCAGCGTGTGTCGAAGTCCAGTTCATCAAGTCTGCCCACCAACAGGCAAAGACAATTCCATCCTTCGCCCATGGGTGACTCCGAGTCAGTAAGTACTAGGCAAAGTCCACAAAGAGTCATGTCAGACATACAACTATGACCGAGAATATCGTCCCAAGTCGTACGCGGGGCACACCGACGTTGGATAGGGCACAGAGCTTTCGCCGACGCTTCGGGTTGCCCCCTCGCAAGCCGCTCCTTCCGTTACCCCTCACTTATGCTCAGATCTCCTGGGAGACTTGAGAAAGGGTGATGAATTAGGTGCATGTTGGCGTCCTCAATTTCGGAGCCAGGACTCAGGAGGAACGCGTCGCCGCAAAAGGCAATCGGCGATCAATGTGATCGCGACTGTATTTGGTTCCGAATCCGTGGAAATCGACCATAATCAGTGGCCAAAGTCTAAAGTGATCGAGCATTGGAACTCCACGGTTTTCAACGGAACACCAGCGATTTGGGAGCCGCAAAGTTCCGTGGCAATCCTGGGTCTTCGCGTGTACTCAACTGTGAGATGGGGGAACCTCCCTGGCCGATCGGGACTCGCGGCATGTTCAAGTTCTTGTCGACGCGCTTGACTGGATAGACCGGCACTTACTTCCTTAGCACAAGTGTGTATCCGATGGATACGTGCAGGTCGTGTCATTTGCCCGTTGGTAGTGTGATAACTCGACTCCATGTATGGCTGCCGTAAAGTAGATAGGGCGGTGTGACGCCTCGGCCTTAGCCGACGCCACGTGCTCTGCCTTCACCCCTCGCGGGGGTATTTCCTTTGGAGTTCCTTGAGGTTCTCCTGGTTTCTTATGACTCGTATATATACTCCGTGACTAGTTATGACTACTTACAGCTGTAGGTATAAAAGGGCCCTCCTCCAAGGGAGGAGGGCAAGGTTTTCAATCGAGACTTCGTTACAGAGTAACCTCGTGGGAATCTTCTTCATCATCTCCGTGAGCCGAGCCCGGCCCGCTCTCCGCGTCACCGTACTCGCCTCATATTTTTACTCTCTCGCTCGACGTCCTCGATAGAAACATCGACTTCGACTTCGACAACCAGCAACCAGCAAAGTTTTCACTACCTACCCCTATTCCCCCCGCTAAGGCAACGGACTTGATCAACCCGGCACCCTTCGCGGCTTAATTACCCTTTCTTCCTTGTCGACAATCTCAATGGCGCCAAAAGCTCAACCTCTGCGCGACTCCAGCGGACGTTTCCGCCCTCGCGCAGCGTCGGTTGACACCGGTGAGTCTCAGACCGCGTGGCGTGGTACTGACGACTCCTTCACTAGTGCACTCTCGGACAACGAGTCCGACTCGGGTACGGCGGGCGCTCAAGATGCGCCGCCTGCCACCGCCGATGACCAGGTCATCGAGCATGCGACGGTGCAACACGACGTTGTGCCGTCGTCGGGTGCTTCCGCCACGACGGTGGGGGTATCCCGCCAGGTGTCTGCTCTCGACGGAGCAGACCCTGGAGAGGGCGAGTGGTCGGCCGATGCCGCTGCTCAGTCCCCGACCCACGCGCATGCCGCCGACGGCCTCGTGCCTGAAGCTGGTGCTCAGCCGCGTGCACCGGGTGCTGTGGGCAGTCGCGCTATCGCGCCAGAGTCCACGGAAGTAGATAATACTACGAATAAAATTTTCCCTCAGTATGATGAGAACAGCGAGCACGGGGCTCGCGAGTCCGAAAGCGTGAACGTACCTGAGAGCTCTATCCCCGGAAACAGTAGGGACCGGATGGATAAGGGTAAAGGCCCGGATCTACGCAATTTCGGTAATCTCGACTTCGACGAGGTCGAACACGATCCCGAGATTCAGCGGGACATCCTGGATGCCGCAAATCGAGCTCGGGGATCGCGGGCTCAAGTGCCCAATCAGGGGCCAAGGGTGTCTTTGGCAAATCTGGAACCCCGCGCCGCCGAAAACAAGCAGATCGCCGATCTGTTCGATGCACTCCACCTCAAGACTGTTGAGGCCGCGGACTACGCCGCCCTCAATGCCAAACTGGCGAGGCAGGTCAGCCAGCTCAGTGAGAGGTACGACAATCTCGTCGAACTCCTCACGGATGGGTCTGGCGCCGCACGCTCGCGCGCTGCGAGCGTCGCACGTGAGCGATCGGTGCCGAACGAAGTTCAACCGACACGTGACCTGAGCGCAATCAAGCGCGAGACCGCGGAGGCCTCTGTGCCCCCCGCGGTGCATCGTGAACGTCCTTCGAAGGCTTCTAGTCCCGAAGACAAGCTTCGTCCGAGCTATGTAGCTGGGGGCGAGTCCTACTGGGACAAGTACATGGCTATGATCAGAAGCCGTGTAGTCGGCCTTCCGAGCTCAGACTCGGATGACGACGGACAGTTTGACAGCGCGGGTAAGGCCAGCCGCCTTAAGCCGCAGCCTCCCGAGTCCTACGACGGCCGGGAGGACGATGAGGCCTTCTGGACCTTCGTCATTGATTCTCTTCAGTATGTCACTGATGGTCGAGTGGCAGCCACTCGGCAGGCCGACGTTGTCT